GGACGGCCGTCCCTGCCCCCTGACGTACCTCTGTCCCTCGGGACGTACCTCTATCCCTCGGGACAGCCTTCTCAGCCCTGTGATGTATCTCGGTCCCTCGGGACGGCTGTCCCTCCTCATGATATACCTCTATCCCCTTGGGACAGCCACCCCTAGCCTCTTATGTACCTCTGTCCCCTCACCGCAGGTGCCCCTGCCAAGTGACGTACCTCTGTCCTTCATCAGGGCTACCACCAGCTCCATTCCTGCCTTCCTCTGGCAGCTCATCCATTCCACCTGTCATCCCTGCAGTGTTTTCCTCACCATTGCGCTCCAGCTGCCCTTCATCTCTACAACCTTCCACAGGGTCACCTGTCCCAGCTGGCACTATAACAGACAATCCGTTTCTATGCATGGTGACACAGTGATGCATCATGAGAACTCATGAGATCAGTGACCTTCTCACCCAAGCAACATATAGTACTACCAAAAACAAAGGGTTTCAGGGTATGAAAGTCAGTTTAATAAAATGTTTAGCTAAATGCCAAGTGAAATTATAGATATGTAAAGGAGAACCAAATAAAGCAAATACAGTGGTACCTCGACCCACGAACAGTCCTGTTCACGAACAAATGGGGTTACGAATGTTCAAAACATTTTTGCGCCGGTTCGTGAACCGTGTTTCAGGGGACAAACACACCCAAAACGCGAAGAAGTTATGCCCAAGAACGGTTGTGGAATGTATAAAAAACTTATTGTAGATGTATGTATTTACTATATCTCTTCAGAGGTCAAATATCTGAAAAAAGAAAAAAATAGACACAGAACATTCTGTTATAGCGGTACCTTTCAGTGATTGATAAACATGTTTGTGATGGTTTTTAACGTCATTAACGTCTCATATCTATACATAAAATTACAGTACTTCATTAATAACATAAAGTAACTCCTATTTAAGTGTTATATTCTCCATTCACACATAGTGGCAACTGCTTATTGTTTGTTTACAGTACAAACAAAGAAGTTCATTGCCATACAGCGAGTAGCATCACGAAATGGACATAAAAATTTTAGGCATATGAAAATAATGTACAGTATAATAATAAAAAAAAATCACATTTTCAAAATGACTATAGTTTTTGACTGCTACTCAGTCTTTTAATGTTAATTGTTTAGTTTTTTGGGGGGATGTTTTGTGGTTCTTTTCCGTGTTTTGGCGTCTTTCGAGTGACCAGCCTGCCAACAAGCATACGCTAGGTTGTGTATTGGTCCGCCTTCGGTAAATGTATTATTTGAACGAATTATTTGTATTTACATTATTTTAAATGGGAAAAATTGATTCAGGTCGCAAACTTTTTCGGTCGCGAACTGAGTACTCGAACAAATTAAGTTTGTGAGCCGAGGTACCACTGTATTATAGTAACTTTTAAAGAGGTACTAAGGCAAACCGATAACCTGTTCCTTTATGATGCAGACTGAAGCTGAACTACCCCGAATCCTGTTTACCTGCTTCTTGGCCTAACTGAGAAAGATCATAATTGTTATCAGTTTCCTCTGTGACCTGATCAGGTGTCTTCAGGTCAGAGGTCAAAGCCACGTCAACTTGTGCCAGCCTTGGCTGTTTGGCGGCCGGGGCTGATGATGTTGGATCCTCCTTCTCCTCCTGGGCCACCTGACTAACACCCAGGGGTGGCTCTTGTGGAGGTTCACTGTCCCCCTCCGGCTCCAGCCCGGCCCCTGCCGCCCCTCCTGTTTCTCCACTCTCCACAAAACTGGACATGTTGCCTTGATATGTCTCCCTTTTCCTTGGCTCTGTGCACGGTACCCCTGGATAAGTCTGCTCCGGGACTCTGAAAGGTCTTTTCTCTCTCTCTCAGTGGGTTTCTGTCAGATGGCCGTGTGGTAGGTGCTACTGGGGTAGTGCTTCCTCCTGTGACACAGCTGGCTCAGGCTTCGGGGTGCTGAGGACATCACAGCACCTGCAAGACACAGGAAAGAGAGAACAACAACAAAGAAGATGGAAGGATCAGCTGTAAATAAGAGGACAAATTCTGCATAGAAGACACGCAGTAGAAAGAGGACAACTTGAACATCAAGTATAACACTTGAAACAGTAATAAATAATGTTATCTACGACATTTACACCTGGTTCTACGACTCAAGATAATAGTATTCAGAAATACGCATAAATTTCCAAGTTCTACTAAATTAAAACGAGTAATAAAAAAACTGAAATCAGCAGCTATCGGTTTTGGTGTGTCTCTGTACCGTTTACGCTTCTTTACAAAGTATAAAATCATCAACATGATTTGTGATAATACACAAAAAGGCAGGACATTCAATTAGTCGGCATGGGAAGTAATGAGATGAATAAATCCGTATACAAATATAACCAACTGATTACCTGCTTTTCCTGTACGCTCGCTTTTGCTTATATCTTCCTCCAGTTGAAATACCAAGATTTCGTTTTTTCCCCGTTTTACTGCTCTTTAGAGTCGATGCTTTCTCTATGTTTCCTCTTGATATCTAACAGAAACAGACCATAGCACCGCGATATGCTACACCATAGGAGGCAACAGATGTATCACGCCGTCTGTTCGCTTGCGATGGGAGCCACCATGACACTTTTCTGTTACTAGCGCCGATGGCCAAGTATCGCGAGATGATCTTCTCAGCCTGACGCGAAATGCAACAGATACTGAAGACGAGGAACACGCTCAAACTTTCATGAAATGTTTTATATTAAATGTTTTGCGTTCGTGTCCGGCTTTAAAAGGTCTGTGAATAATCGATATAGTTAAAATTATTTTCTTTTCCAATACGTTTGTCAGTGTTGGAGCACGCCGTCTCCACCGAGTGCGTGGATGAGAAGAAATTCACAGCTGACACGGGGAGAAGTTGCAAATCATCGGTTTATTCTCTTGACTGATTATAATCAGGGAGCGGCCGTCTGGCGTGCTCCAACATCAGTTAGTGACTTTTAGTATTACTATTCAAATGAAATAAACGACGCTTTCGTTTTGTAATTATTTGCCTTTGATAAAGAAGCAAAACATTTACAATATTAATTATTTAATATGGACACCAGGTAACGGATGACTTCAAGGACTCAGAGCTCTTCTCCGTGGCCAAGGACTCCAACTGGTTCTGGGGGACAGCCTTGTTTTATACTGTATGTTGTTGATCTTCCTTCAATAGAAAGGCTTCTAAATACATTTATGTAGCAGATACCTTTGTCCAAAGCGACATACAAGTGAGGATCTGAGGGCAGGGTCATTTCCTGGTACAAATGGGGTTAAGGGTATGTATGAGTCACGGGTTTTTATCTTATTCTAAAGCTAACAAAATATCAAGCAATGTCAGTGAATATAAACCGAATGTTACGGTTAGCACAAGAGAAGCACATGCTGCCTTTAATAGAAGAAACAGTGGTGTATCATTGAACTGATTTAATCTACACAAATTAGCTTAGCATATACTGCCTATAGCAAATTATAGGTTTATTAAAACTAACCCATTAGGTCTATAAATACACATTCTATTATATTATATGATCATTTAGCTGCCAGTTTGATATGTCTAAAGGTTACTTGAAAATATTCATACTGTAAGTTTCCTGGGGGAGGGGGACACAATGAATAGGATTTTAAAATAATCAGTGTTTAATTTATACCTTTAATTCTGGAGAACACATCAATTTATCCAGTTTCTGCAACCGCTAGTCCAGAGATTATCCTGGAAGCTAAGGGTTCAAGTTCTGGAGAACCAAAGAATTTAAATCAAAAAAGTAAAGACAATTAGATTATTCTGTCACACCCCTGGGGGGCGGGGTTTGAGAGGTCCATCCGCCCCCCCAGTGAAGAAATAGACCAGCTCCACTCCCAGAGGCACGCAGTGGCTTTGCCACCGGCAGCTCGGAAAAGCCGAGAGACCATTAGGTCAGCACAGTATAGCTGAGCCCATTTTGGGGACTGCGATACCATTTACGGACAACGCGTACACTTGATGAGAGGGAATCACACATGGAAAATTCATATCAAATACAATAACAGAGAGGGATTCCAGGGATTTTGCACCAAGTATACTCACTTTGGCAATCCGGTAAATGAGGCGGCTCAGCTGCTTCAACATTAATCATGCACAGGAGGCGTCCAAGGTGACCAGTGACAACGAGCTACTCAGACAGCCCAAAGCACCAGGATGGGAGATAGGAAGCTGCAAGCTCACAGGCAGGCAGAGAGACTGCAGCAGTTTTTCTTTTAAAGGCAACATGCTGTGAACGTGGACTGGGTAAATACTGAAAAACCTACTCCACCATTTCATCCTTAATACTCTCTCATAACAGCAGGGAAGGATAAAACCAAACCCAATCTTGCTCTATTCCAGGAACACGAAGTAAAATTCACAAATTGTTCAAAATGTCACATTCCAAGCAGGCATATGCCTCAATGTGGTACAATCCTGAAATAAAAATAGGCAAGTAAGCAAGGAAGTAAGTAGTTTATTTTAAACAACTGCAATTCTGTAACTGATTTGTTGAGGTGGAGTGTTTATTTCACACTCTGAATTAAAATAAAAGTATAATTTAGAAGGGAATGGAAATATTTACAACAGACATTGTGTTGGTAATAAAATCAATTTGAATAACAGCCCACTGACACATTACTTTGCTCAATCCATCTCACAAAGCATCTATATTTTATAGAATATCCAACAGTATAATTGCTGACAAAAAAAGTCTCCAGAAAATATGGCAGAAGAATCTGGAATTTTGGAAAATTTATCAAAAGGAAAAATATAAAAGAAATTAGAAAAAAATATCATTTTACACGGGGTGACATGGTGATCAGCAGCGTTCTCACACACCTCTGGGACCAGGTTTCGAGTCTCCACTATGGTTCCATGGCTGTGGTGGTTTACATGTTCTCCGTGTCGTTGTGGGGTTTCCTTGGTGCTCCAGTTTCCTCCCAAAAACATGCGGAGGCTAATTGGAGCTACGTAGGCGTGTGTGAATGGTGTGTGAGTGTGAATGGTGTGTGAGTGTGCCCTGCGATAGGTTAGCACCCCATCCTGGGTTGTTCCCTGCCTTGCCTCCGTAGCCTCTGGGATAGGCTCCAGACCCACCGCAATCCTGAATAGGACAAGCAGTTACAAAAATGGATGGATATTATTGGACACCTTCAAAGTTTCACAGAATGGTATTAACAATGACAAATGTTGGAAATGCCACAGTGAGGTAGGTACTTATGCATGTGACACGGGAATGTTCATTGGGCTATCCCTTCTGAAGTAAAGTGTTGTAGCAATGAGGAAACCGGCTTGACGTAGCACTGCCACTAAGCCCGCAATTTTGTCAGATGGGGGACAGACAGGGCAAGGGCATCAGATCTGACCAAAAACCAGTTCACTACAGTAATAGTGGGAATCAGCACAGCAGTCAGGCTGACCTTGCACAACTGGAAATTTAAAACTCCTGACATTGTAGACTGGATCGGCCAAATGATCAGAATAGCATCTTTATGGAAGAAATGTTGAGTTGGATTAATGATACCAAAGAAAGGACTGAATTATGGAGCAATATGCTTGGCAAGCTGATAAAGGCATATAGGGGTAACCGAAGCTTATGATTTCCATATGATTTGATTATTTTGAACAGTGTGCCATTGTGAACTATATGCAATGGCCATCTGATTATCACTGCTGTACATTTGAAGTTTATGATTAATAAAAACATTACAAATTACAAAAAAAAATCAGTGAAATTTAACTTTGAATTTATTTATTTTTTTTTTACATTATTGTTTGCTTCAAACCAGAAAAAAAAACTATGTACATAAAGTTGTTCTTTTTCCTTTTCTTGTTTGTTATATAATCTCTAAAACATTCAAAATTCTTAAAGCCGTGGAGGTGGAGCTGACTGGATGGTCTGGGGCCTGATCGCGGGGGGGGGGGGGGGGGGGACAATGGCAGAGTTTTAATAGGGCGCTGGAGGAAATGCATGTCGTTCTGTCAGAGGCATTCGGGATTCACCATTAACCCCAGGACATGTGTGTGATTTCAGGATGTTCAATAACAAAAATATAATCAAAATCACAGTGTAGTCTCACCAGGATGGCACATCACTGTCCAAAACACTTCACTGTGACATTAGTACTCTGCAACACATAGAAAGGAGTCGGGCCCACAACTATTAGTATATGGACATGGGATTCCCACCTGACAACTCAACAGATGATTAAAAAAAACCATAAGAGGATAATCTATCTAGCAAACCTACGCCTGTGAAAGTGCTCGTGTGCCTCAAAGTTTCACTTGTATAATTTCCTCTATATTATCCTCCCAAATAGGCCACACAACATATCCACACAGCTTAAAACAAGCAAGAAATTCTCTTGGAAAGAATTTTGAGGGGGCACATGAGGGCTTATTGTGGACTGAGTGACATGTAGCAGAGTGCTGGCCATGTGTCTCTAAACATAACCGATGTAAGCCAACTTCACAGTAAGTACTCCAGTCCATCACACATGGAAAGCCATCAATGGCAGAAAGTTTTCATCATGCTAATCATTTTCGTTAAAATCTAGTCCGGTCATTTGATTTCAGGAGACAGCTACGCTAATGCAGGTCACCAGCCCCCTCTAGTGGAACCCCTCAGCATTAACAATAACCACATAACTACTGTTAAGCACAAATGGACTTGAATGTCACTACTTTACAGTACCATAAACTGGTGTGGAACACAGATATACAGTTCAGCATGAAACAGTGGAAGCTGAGTTTGAGAGCACACACATGAAACACCCCCTAGCCTGCATGCAAGAGTGCGCAAATGTAACAGGTCTGTTTTGTACTACTTTCCACACACCCCACCTTGGGGCTTCCGGCGCTGAAGTGGCACGGACAAGCAAGATTAGGAGGCGTGGTCTTTGACCTGGATCTATGGATTATGATTGGTGCAAGACTCCCGCCCCAGCCAGTCAACTCGGCTCCAAGTCGGCGCGGACCCGTGACCAGGGTTCGACACCACAGCTACATGAATGGGCATCAAAAAAAAAAAGTTTTTACAAAGTCACACAGTTCAAAAGGTTACAGCCTTCCTTCAATGCAGATCCGTTTCTCCACACACACTATACTGGTGTATGTCTGCTACTAGGGACACATTATAGATACAACCAAATGAGCTTTGAGCAACCAGGATTCACTTCTTCTGCAGGAACACAGAGGTCCCATCATCCTCTTCTTTGCACACATGCTCAAGACCTTGCCCTCCAAAAGTCACATTTCTGTAGATCATAGCATTGTTTTGAATTTCTCTCTTTAAAGAGTTTGCCACCCAGGGCTAATCTGTACAATTAAGGCATGTGAAAAAAAAACAAAGGGGAAAAAAGATATGTACATTATTTACATGGCAGCCGGACTCCACTGCATGCGTGAGACTGTGTGCATGTTCCTTTGCAGCTGTACTGAAAGCCTTCAGCGTGTGTTCAGTCGTGCTCTATGGGTGCTGCTGGCTGGCTGTGTGTGTGGTGTGTGTGGTGTGTCCGTTACCAGCAGAGAAATCACAGCTGTAAGTTCAGTACGAAAAGCCTTCACTAAACTCAGCCCTTACATGGCAGTCGGCTCTAGCTCCTTACAAGCTGCCCGGAATTCTTCCTCCAGTCCAGAAAACTGTGAACTCCAAGAGGCAGAGCACAGGAAGCAGTAGCTGGGCATCGCCACTGTTATCAGTCCTTGGGGCAGCAGTTTCCAGAGGCCCTATCCATGCTCATGTCATCCTCTCTGCCCCTTATCAATCTCGCCCAAAGGGTGACAATGCAGTTTCTCCATTAAAGTACAGGGGGCAGCAGCGGCCTGAAAGGTGCCAAAAAATAAACGTGGGCCAGGTCTACTGAATGCATCTTGGGTCAAGCAGCAGTGGAGTCGTGGAAGATCGAGGTCTAGGTCTTCAGTGTTCCTCCTTCCCACAATGCACTGCAGCCACCATTTCTGCCCAGCAACTGCCTAAAAACAAGAGTGGGGGGAAAGGGAAGGAGCACAAGGAGTTAGTGGATCTGCTCCTGTCTGCCAATAGCAGCCTGACGTAAATTAGAAAATTGGTCAAAATTTAACAGACGTGAATATTCAATAACATGCATTTAAAGTAGTTTGCCAGGGGAGCAGGCAACCATACCATTAAAACAGTCTGCTTCTTGCTGTCACCAAATCAACATTCACTCGATTAGATTCCTTGGTGTTCTGGAGAAAAAACAATATCTGGGACAGAAAGAAACAGAAACCCAAACACAAAGCTTCTCCCACGTCTCGCTAAGCTCGTCCAACAAGTCAAAGCGCTTTCCATGAGAGTCTAGGGGAAGCTGCGAGACTCCTTGGTCCCCACACCACCATCCAGAGCTGCAGCTTGGCAAGTCCCTTCTTCTTACGTCCTACTCTGAGGAGCAATCCTGGAAGGGGCCGCCGCAGCGCGTGCAAACCCTCCCACATGGAGTTTATGTGTCTTTTGTTGTCATTGTTCCTCTCCTCACTCCTTTTCGGGGAATGAGGTATGGAGGAACACAGGAGTTTCTTTTTTTTTATTTTTTTCTTAATCCAGTATCTTTTTTATGAAAAGGTCGGTTTATCATTCAAACTGTTGTTGCTGCATGAAAATCCTTCATTTCAAACATCCTTAGTTTTTTTGACATATAAAAATAAGTACATATAGAATTGTGTGTGTTCATGGATGTATATATACAAAAGTCTGTATATATACACACATAAGCACACATTAACACACAGTACAGAGGGTAAGATCTTTGTCCTTTTTCATACAAAACCAGAAACCTATGAACACTGTCTCCCAGATTGCTGCTCGCTCCCCCACCCTAAAGAAAGTTCCTCACAGTTTCTAACAAACCAAAGTGCATAGAAAGAGTGTGTGTGTGTGTAATATGCATGAATGAATGTATGTAACAATATGTGTATGTATATGTATGTGTGTGTGTGTGGGGGGGGGGGCGTGGCTCTGGTGCGAAGCAGCAGCCTTCTCGCAGGGGACAGGCAGGAGCTCCAGTCTGGCTTCCTGCTTTCCGCACATTAGCACATACACAAAGGTTTTTTTC